TCTCCTAACGTTTTCAGAGTCCCGAAAAAAATTAGGTTGATAATTTAATTTACTTTCAATATAATTATTCTCTTTTTTTGACATGTTGAACTGAAATCTCATTACTGGTAACAAACTAATCTGTAATGAGAATTGAAATTTGTTTCAATAATTAGAGATCATGGATCAATTAAAGTTAGACATTAACACCGTTGGATGTTGGCTCATTCGCCTAGAGGTTAAGAGTTTGCTCGCGAGACTTTAGGTCCTGGGTTCAAGTTCTGTATATAGGATCTGTGTTGATGAGTCCCTAACTAGGACGAAATGGCCGTCCAATGCTTCCAAGTTTTCAATAGTAGTCCAGCCTAGATTGATTCATGATGAACTCAACTATGATAATGCTACAACCTCCATAAATCCCTATTCTGATAAATATAAAATACCATTGTCTTCAGTGAGCTGATATCTCACAACAGATCTGGTTGAACTCCACTGGTGACAGCTTCTCACTAGAACTCCAGGAGGTTCTCCTGAAGTCAGTCACTAGTGAGCAGTTGATTGTTATCAAAATGAGTGGATGCGCACTGCTGAGGAGTCCAATACTAGGACGAAACGGCCGTCCAGTGCTTCCAGGTTTTTCATGGTGGTCTAGCTTTAATTGACTCATGATTTCAACCTGTGAAATTTCCTAAAATCTCCACAAAACTCATTCTGAAAATATAAAATAACTTAGAATCAATTTTTTTGTTTAAAGAAAACAAAATAAGTTTCGAATGTCAGAACGAAAATTCACTATTAATTTAATTTTTCATAATAGACAATTGGTAATAATAAATAGTAATATCCAACTAGAAATTGAATATTGAGTCACGAAACAAAAAATTATTAGACAAATAATGACAGTCAGAATAAAAAAATAAATAATGATCATGGCAACTATTTTTTTTAATTATTGTTTAAACTAATCTCTATTGCTTTGTCCAACCTTTTTTGTATTCCTATGTATAGTTTTCTTTTGTTGCTATGGCTACATAAATTAATGACGTAATAGTCGAAATGTTTAGATTTAAAAGAATTTGATTTCTTATTATTTGATTAAATCACATTGTAATTTCATTCTATTACATAGTGTAATTATCTCACTTCTTTTGGATTAAAGATAAAGTAAAGGCATGTCTTGTAATTGAATCAATAAATTAGGAATTTTAGTTAGACAACCACTGAATATGAGAAAGCACTTAAAGGTCGTTTTATATAAGCTTGAAGCTAGTCAACAAGGCATATTTATATCTCTTAGAGTGATTAAATCGAAGACCTTTCAACCCACGAATGAACATTCAAATGTTTGCATTCTTAAACTCAGTAGATTTGTGATACTGAATAGCTACCATTTATTGGCATCAGTGAATTATTATTTCATCTGATTTTATTTATTCGAACATATAAATATTGGTACAAATGGGCATCGAATAAATATGCGCCGCACAAGTCACTTGATTTGTGTGTGGGATGTGATACTTCCGGAGTGACCAGATCGAAGTAGGTGGTATTCTTAGGGGGCGACACCTGGAGCCTTTGACCTAAAGGTCTAATCCACAATGCAGTGGAGCAACGTTAGGAGATGCAGTCCCATGGTTGCCGGTGATCAACGATTGATTCATACGCCGTTTGTTCTTTCAGAATACTGGAGCCCATGTGCACCATTGGTTTATAATCTGAGTTTCCTAACTCCCCTAGGTAAAATCCTCTATATCCACCAACCGGATTAAAGCGCCCGACATTCACTTTTCGTCCTCTCAACTTCGTAAAGAATAGTAATCCCACGAGAAGACAGTGAGTAGAACTTTCCCAGGAGTAGCTGTATACGCGTGACCGTGTGAGAGCATATGAACTGGGAGAGCTGAATTTTCACACTTTCGGCCGTACCAGGGCATATGGGGGCTTGATCAGATTGATGATAATTTATAATTTGTACCTAACTCCCAGATTAATTTCAATTTCCTTCCCTGATTTATGATTAAATGTTTATTTACTCTATTTTTTTTTATCACTTTTATGTGATAAGAGTGTTTGTTTCTAAGGTGTAGAGACTTTGTTTTATCATAATTTTTTTTGGCTATTTAAACAGAAACTCGGGAATCATCATGTTCTCGCATATGGTTTATTGATTTCATTTACCTAAATTTATCAACTTACTTAAAACAATCGAAATTCTAAAATAATTTCTACAAACAATGTAGACTCTATCTATTTAGCCTCATTTTCTTTAAATATTTAACCATGAGTTAGTATATACTTACATGTAGTCGTTAGTGATTAAGCTAAACATGATCCATAGTTGACGATTAGTTTGTTTCACTGTCATACTTGGTAAAGTAAACAATATATGTAATTGATTAAAGTAACCAAGATAACTTCTAGACATTTTCCAGTTTATAGATTTGAACTGTATTATTGATCTGTCACTCTGATTGGCTATGACAAAATTTATTGAAGATTGTATTCAGAAATTTTAGTAATGACGAAATATGGAATACTATTTTACTTACTTGCTTACTTACTTACGCCTGTTACTCCCAATGGAGCATAGGCCGCCGACCAGCATTCTTTAACCCATTCACTCTGTCCTGGGCCTTCTTTTCTAGTTCCATCCAATTCTTGCTCATTTTTCTCATGTCTATCTCCTTTTCGCGGCGTAATGTGTTCTTTGGTCTTCCTCCTTTCCTTTAGCCTTGGGGATTTCATGTGAGGGCTTGTCTTGTGACGCAGTTGGGTGCTTTCCTCAATGTGTGTCCTATCCACTTCCAGCGCTTCTTCCTGATTTCTTTCTCTACTGGGATCTCGTTTGTTCTCTCCCACAGTTGGTTGTTGCTAATAGTGTCCGGCCAACGGATCCGAAGTATTTTGCGTAGACAACTGTTAATAAACACCTGTATTTTCTGGATGATGGCTTTCGTAGTTCTCCAGGTTTCCATCTCATACAGTAGAACTGTCTTGACATTTGTGTTGAAAATCCTGACCTTGGTGTTGGTTGACAGTTGCTTTGAGTTCCAGATGTTCTTCAATTGTAAATATGCTGCTCTTGCTTTACCGATCCGCGCTTTTACATCTGCATCAGATCCATCATGTTCATCAATGATGCTGCCCAAATATGTAAAGGTTTTTACATCTTCCAAATCTTCTCCGTCATGTGTGATTGGATCGGTGCATGCTGTGTTGTATTGGAGAATACTACTTACTAATCAATATTTTCTGGAAAATAATTTCTTTACTATGAATGTTTGATATCTGTGATGCGACTCATCATTAACTCTATTTAATACTTTATGATTGATGTTTTACCATAATTATAAGTATATTTCATTTTGTCATCCTTTAACGTACCCCAGTACATACGGATGAATACATAAAATAGTGATGGGTAAAATAACATATCGCTATTTGACGTAGTATGAGAAATGATAGTAAGAATTCAAAGGTAATCTCAGGAGGTTGGTAAAATTTTGTAGAATCATATATCAGTAATGAATAAGATAATAAAGTGTCTTATCGGTGCATGAATTCAATCTTCACAAAATATGCAAAATTTTGAAATCTTCTACAAAGAATTTCGTAGCTAATGTATTTTGAGGACAAAAACTAATGTTTTTTTTAGAGATTAAACATACTACTTAGTAAAGAGTTGAATTTGATTTAGGAAATCTATAGTGTTGATGTACTGTGTGCTACTTATATCTGTCGATATAAGTTATATGTAACACTAATAGAAAGTAAAATGCCTGATGACAGACGGTTGAGAAGATCGTACAGAAGAGAACAGGAACAGAGAGTGATTGATATGTAAAATGAATGAACAACAAATTCTAAGACAATTGATGGACATTTTGAAAATGAATTATTGAACGTATGATATTCACATTTTTCCAACTAACCTACTCGTGTTCTCCTTCGCTACATTAGTAACGTGCAGTTAAACCGGATAGACAGTATTTATTAGAAACAAGAAAAATAACGGCAAAGTTGCGATGCTTGGTAAAGTTACTAAGAAGGAAAGAGATATCATAGAAATGTTGAATAACGTTTATTTAACAAGTTATTAAGATGTTGATTATGAAAAGCACTTGACAACGTTTATCTAATAAGAGTTTATTGTTCGATATGAAAAGCTTTATGGCATAGTTATGTTAATAAAATTATTTAGTTTAATGAAGTCCCATTGAGTAAACAACACTGAATTGACTTTTAAATAAGCTGTTAATATAAATCAACCTTCTTCAATTAATAACATGGAAATCTTATTCATCTCTCAAAATTCATTAGTTAGCTATCCTGATAATAAATACATTTTAACATCAGTAGGATGTTATGAGATTCTGGTAAACTTTGACTACTCTATCGAAAAAAAAGTTTCTATTCAACGAAAACTTATTTACGGTTGTTGATTTCTTTTTTTTCTAATCGCTGATCAAGATCTATATTCAATCTAATGTAGATTTTTCAGTACTTCCCTTAGTTGCTATATTATAAAAACCTGAAAAGTCAACTGTTTACTGATGAATATCTATCACAGAATGCGTTTTGTGGAGAGTTTTAGAAATTTCACAGGTTGAAATCATGAGTCAGTTGAAGCTAGACCACCATTGAAAACCTGGAAGCACTGAACGGCCGTTTCGTCCTGGTATGGGACTCCTCAGCAGTGCGCATCCACGATCCCGCACTGCTGAGGAGTCCCATACCAGGACGAAACGGCCGTTCAGTGCTTCCAGGTTTTCAATGGTGGTCTAGCTTCAACTGACTCATGATTTCAACCTGTGGAATATCTATCTTGTACAAACATATAGACGTCAGTTTCTTTAGATTCTAACAAAAGATTATTTCTGATTTCCAATCCTGATGAAGAAAATTATTTTGAATAAATCATTTTGTTATTATTATGTAGAAATGCATAATCAATTTATTGGATCAGTGGCAAAATATTCCTTTGAAACAAATGACAAGTGTCATTTTGGCTCCTAACACATTATTGATCAAAATGTATTATATCATACAAGTAGGTGATCTCTGTTTGAGCTTTATTTAATTACCAGTCAACTTTTAAAGCACACTAAAAGAAATAGCAAAGTAGTTTTATATAGAGTATAGAGGAATTGGTTTTTTAAAGAGTAGGAAACATCTGTGAGTTTTATAATTGAATTGAATTTTATGCGAAATATCATTTCGAAATTCATGAGATAGTAACTCATTGATGACAATTGTGGACGGTGGCACACCGTTGAGTGCCAGCTTACTGGTTTAGAGGTTAAGTGCTCGCGCGTGAGACGTTAGGTCCTGGGTTCGAATCCCGCGGGCAGGATCGTGGATGCACACTGCTGAGGAGTCCCACATTAAGACGAAACGGCCGTCCAGTACTTCTAAGTTTCCCATGGTGGTCTAGTTCCAATTGACTGATGAACTCAACCATGTGTGTGGTTTTATACGCTTGACGATGTGAGAGCATATGGAGTGGGGGATCTAACTCTTCCCACTCTCGGCCGTATCAGGGCATTCGGTTTTTTTTCTTAGTTTGATTACATTTGTAGTCAAAAGTAATATATAAATCATTGTTTAAGACAAATTAGAAGTAATAACAGTGGTTAGAGATAGTTGACAGGAAGCATTGATCCACCCGAATTTCATTCATGTTAGCATTAAACACAAAGGTGTATGCATAAATCAAAATATAGTGATATATTCATCAAGATCATACCGCGCACTATTCAAAACCACAAATAAATTATCTAAAAAGCTGGTGATGGAGAAGACTTGTAGCTCACTTCTATCTGAAGTTTGTGCTGATGACGTCGTTCAGAAGAACGATGAAAGCTCCACAACCAAACCATCTAGCTCAGAGAACAAAACTCCATCAATATCTGGAAAGCTGGCTTTAGTAAACTTATCACTCAGTGGCTATCGTAGATGAACAACTGAGTGAGTATTGCTTAGGTTAGGAGTAGGATACTGTGCAGAGATCACAAATCGCTTGTTGTGATTTTGAATCTTCATCGAATGAAGTGCTTAGGACACATATTACTCAAATCAAACCGCAGGCTTCTTCACCATGGGTTGTTAGCCGGTGTAATAGTAGGTTGAAAGAAAGCTAAGAGTGACTCAATCAAGACATAGCTTCATTCTATGGAGTCATTGGCTGGCAATTGTAGATTACCTGATTGGGGTCCGAGAGTGATCCATGATAAATTATGTGTTAAAAAAAACGAAGAATATTATCCGTCTCCTTACATTGTAATTAGCTCCAAATACGTTCTTTATTTATGAACAGTTGTTCAACAGTTTAACAGCGAATTTCAAGTATTTTTTTCTGAAGAATCATTCATTTTCCATTTTTCTTTATCGTCCAGTTGAAAATAGTCACATCCAATGTTTTTGTAACTACCTACTAACAGTCATAGATACATCGAATACCAGTTGGCGTTATTAATGATACCATTTGATAAACTTATGTAATAGCAATATAGTAGTGCAATTAGTACCATCAATAATTACCCTTATTTATCATTTATGTTAATGATATAATCAGACCGTATTATATATCTTTGTTCCTTTTTGATCCTACTAATATCAGGTTTAGAAAAGAGAACAGTCTTTTATATTGGAAGAAATATTCTTATTTAATTAATTTAATATAAGTTGAGCTCATTGGCAAAAGTGATATAAAAATTTGTAAATAATGATTTTGAAAAGACAACAATTCGAACAGTCTCTTAGAGGGTGTTCAGTTTATGAAGACGTTTATTCTTACTTTATTTTGTATTGTTTGTTTAAATCTTCCCATTGATGTTTAACACTGAGATGGATCAGTCTTTTATTGGCATATGTGCATCCAATGCCTCAATATTGCCTTAATTCACAAGCGAACGATACTGGGTACGAGTCCTGAAGTAAACAACAACTTTGAGATGCAGGTACGTCCAGCGGACGAGTCACAAATAGAACGAAACGCGAGTGCTGGATTCGATTGTTAACCACCAACCATCTTTGTTTGTTCTTATTGTTGAAATTACTCATACAAACGATTTTTCTGGATCATGAATCACTTCGACGTCTTATTGTAATACATAGAATATTAAGTCTTGAAACATAAATAGAGTAGATTCGATATGGTAGTTATTCATTTTATTATGAATTCAGTCGGTATCACTAATTTCAGCATGTTTTCCTTTCTTATTCACTAGATAATGAGAAATTAAATTTCTTTAAAGAAGAAAACTTAAAGAAAAATATTCATTGAATTCTTCATCAAATGGATCAATAATGAATACAATTAATCAAACCGAGTTACAAATGGTTGATACAAGCAATTTACAAAATCCTTGTGAAATTAATCATGAATTAACAAAACCATTGGTCTTGTTTCTTAATTGTAAGTTTGTTTTTCATATTCTTCCTATCTCACATTCTATTTTTCGCGAGTGCGGGGGGTGTGTGTGTGTGAGAAGGAGCATCGGGTGGAGGCCAGTTTAATAACGGTTGTCAAGCAGTTAATATAATAAATACTTTCTATATTTAAACACGATACTTTTTACGGAAATCAATATTCTACAACTATGTTATATATAGTTATGTTATTAAGACATTGAAGATCAATCATTTCATATTTTAGCATCGGTCAAACTGAGAAGTGAAGAGTCAGCATGAATAATTATTTACTTCTTTAGTTAAAATTTAATTTTTTCTCCAATATGAAGTTTCTTTCATTGAATGGTTTAATTACAAATTCAACAACAGACTATAATCCGAATACCAACTTGGGCGGCCTGTTTGAGCATCTGGGCTACCTGTTCTTGCCATCTAGATATTTCAACAAGTTATCTATTTTTATTTGTTTTAATATATCATTATGTCTATTAATCGTATGATGTATTCTGCTGCGTTTCTGAAACGTGTACAACCTTTCGTTGTCAAAGTTACAAAAAGCTCAAAAAGAGACAATCCGATTGCTGGCAATATACAACGAAAAGAATGTTCATTATTCAGATGTTCGTTTACTGGACTGCTAACATCTAATTGGCGATCACTCAATATTTGTCGTCAGAACCGACCAAGAAGAAAGAAACGGAAACTTGTTGAAATAATTTGCGCTGAGAATTCTATATTGTACCAAAAATATTTTATTGAATAAAACTAATAATAATAATAAATGCTTAGACATTTACTTGAGTGTCGTACTCTGTTGAAAGTAATAAAATCACTTGAATGATTTAACATTTTTATATGATTAACACTTCTTAAGTTATATTATTTGACAGTCTCTGACATGATGAATATTTGACTATTTTGAAGTTACTGGTTAATTCAACGAATTAGTTCTGTAAATATTCAATGTCATTATAGTTCAGTCATAATACTGAGCTGAATCTTTCAAAAACATAATTTCTGACAAATGAAGACTTTGGATTCATGAGTCAATCTAAGCTAGACCACTACTGGAAATCTGGCAGCATTGGATGATTGTTTTGTTCTAGTGAGGGACTCCTCAGCAGTGTGCATCCATTATCCTGTATGTGAAACTCAAAATCAAGACCTTCGGTCCCGGATATTAACACCATTGGATGCTAGCGTAGTGGTCTAGAGGTTAAGCATTCGCACGTGAGCTCGAGGGTCCTGGGTTCGAGTCCCATGTGTGAGATCGTGATTGTGTACTGCTGAGGAGTTCTACACTGGGACGAAATGGCCACCCAGTGTTCCTAGATTTCCAATGGTTGTCTAGCTTAGATCGACTCATGAATTCAACTATTAAATTTACTACAATCTCCACAAATCCCTATTCTAATAAAATGAAAAAGTGTTTTATGTGATAAATTGATTTCAGTTGAAAAATAAGCAGGAACAATTAGATTATTCGTTCACTGATTAAAATAATTATTTATAATTTATTCTGATGTCACGTTGTGTGAGATAGCAGTACAATTCTGTAGTACATTTTGGAATTTTCCAGTTAAAAATATGTTTGAATTCTTACTAAGAATTAAATTGTGTATCCAATGTCTTTCAATCCCAGAGAGTTACAATGGATTCCTTCTCTGGCTAAAAATAAATTTAATAGGGATATGACTACAAGTAATACTGAAGTGTACGCATATGAAGTCTATATAATATTAATAAGTTTGTGATGGTAAGGTTGTTGTTAAGTCTAATTCCAATATATCGGCGAGAGTATAACTTACGGACGAACAAATCATATTTAAGATAACAAGTCCTGGATTTTGGTGGGAAATTCATCCATCCATTTGGCTAAATTCAATTCCTAACCCCAACGTCCAGCATTAAATCCTAATCCTAATTCCTCACACTAATTAATACCCCAGTAAGTAAATTAACATTTTCAAAGTCACTGTTGCCCAACTCAAATGTCGTCCATATATTATAGTTCCACCCATATCTCTATATAGAATCTGATAGGGTTTAGAATTTTAGTTCAATGTTAAACTGACTTGTATTCTCCTATTATTCACTAATTGATTGTTCAATACAACGTAATTATTGATTCTATTCTGTATGTTCAATAAACTGTTCATTCAACACCTTCCAAATTAGTTAATCATCAATCCATATTAGCTTGTATAGTTTGAATGATAAACATTAAATAATTTGATGTGAGTTAGTGTATTCTATTTTGCTTTCAACATTTCTTCTTCTTATTATTATTACTATGGATTTTGATTACCGGTTTTTCCGTTAGATATTCATTATTACTGAATCATCACATCACTCTATTATTATTATTACCCTTTTTCCACCCAAACCCCACCCCTTACATTCTATTATATTATTACTAACTCATGTAAACATTACATTTTCTGTTGTTGTTGTTGTTGTTGTTGTTGTTGTTGTTGATCTCTTTTACAATCCAATTACAACAGTACACAAAACAAATCCTATGAAATAAACAAGTAATATACATCTATCTATCTAAAGAATGATATACAAGTGAACTATTGAAGAAGAATTCAATAGATCTAAATACATAACAGCTATTTGACCTATTTTATTAATAAACTGTCTATATAAATTAAATCAGCTATCAACATACATCAACAATGTAACTAACTTATTCATGTACATAGATTGTTTTGTTTTTTTTTTCGGTCTAAATATTCAACAAGTCAGTTAGTATGTTGAATTCCTTCAATGTACCAATAATGATTATTATTATTATTACTATATTAGTCAATATTTTTCGTTTCTATGCTTATTCCTATTGGCATTATTACATATGTGTATGTGGAGATTCCATTAAATCACACATAGGAGAATCATAGTCATTATTATTATTATTATTACTAATAATAATAATAATAATAAAAATTGCACAGGAATAAAATATTTGCCAGTTGTACTTGTGTGTGCGTTCATTATGTCTATTCGATTATCAGTATCATTTTAATCATTAATGTTATTTTGACTAATAGTATATTGTACAATATGGTAAATTATTTCATTCTATCTTTATCATACTTCTGTATGTCTCATTCTTACTTTCCTCTCTCTTACTTTATCCCTCTCTCTCTCTCTCTCTTGGTTTCAATACTGTTACATTGATTCATCATAGTATGTATACCCCATATGTGAATGTGCCTGATTACAAATTTTTTTTATTGATTGACCAATTTGAATTTTAGTTACTTGTTCCTATTATTAATATTTTTAATCCTTCACAATAAACAAAGAAAGAAACACAGTTCTAGATAGTTTTCTAGTTGAAAAAACATAATATAATGTTTATTTGTTAGTTGAATTATTCAATTATAATCGATTAAGATGAAGAAACTTCATGAAGTGACGAGATTATAATTTCTCGATGAACCAGTCATGTAACCAGTCAGGTAACAGGTCTCGGATTTTGGCGTGAAACGCACTCATCCATATGGTTAAATAGAATGTTATCGCTTTAACTGATATCAGTTCATGATGAAAACCCTAACCTGAACCATCAACTGCAAATCATAACTTTAATTCCCCACATTGGTTTATAACCTTCATTTTGGTAGAAACTCTTAAGGTCACTCTGGCGTCGCTCAAATGTCATTCATAAATTATAATCTCGCTAATAAAAATTTCAATTTCAGACTGTTGATTCTTAAGATCAAGGATGTAATACTGTGTAGAGTAATGACTGTGAACTTTTGAGAAATGTATAATGAATTTATAAGAATTTTCAATTTCAGAAGAGGTTTTCTGTGGATATTATAGTAATTTTAATAGTTGAGGTCATGAGTCAATTGTAGCTGAACCACAATGGAAGACCTGGAATCCCATATTAGGACGAAATGGTTGTCTAGTGCTTTCAGGTTTTCCATGATTGTCTAGCTTCATGATTTTTAGACTCATGATTTCAACTACTAAAATTACTATCATATCCACAAAATCCTTTCTGATGTTAATCAACATATGCTCACTAGTAACGGTCACCATGAGGTATTTCCTAGAGTTCTAATGAGAAGCAGTGACCAGTGGAGTTCAACCGGGTCTGTTGTCAGATAGTAACTCACTGAAGACAATGATGGATGTGTTGCGCAATTTCCTGGATTGGTTGAGGTTAGACATTAACACCATTGGATGCCGACTCAGTGGTCCAGTAGGTTAAGCGTTCGCGCGCGAGACTGAAGGCCCCGGGTTCTAATCCCGCGAGGCGGGATCGTGTATGCGCATTGCTGAGGAGTCCCGCAATAGGGAGAAATGGCCGTCCAGTGCTTCCAAGTTTCAATGGTGGTCTAACATCAATCAGTTCATGATCTCAATAAAAAAAACATTAAGTAACCATTGGCTTCGTCCATTAGAATTCGTCAAGGAATTCAAAATAACACTATATAACTTAAAGGTGGTAAAATGTAAAACTAGCAGCATTAGCACAGATGCTTCTGTGATTTCCTTTAGCATGAATTATGAAACGTCTACTGTTCTATCTCCTGGAACTTTCGTGATAATTTAGATCGCTTGGATTCTCATTGGTTTATTCCCCGAATACATGATTTCTTTATATTATACTGATACTGCTTATGGTCAGATTAGCCGATGTGTTGTTAAACAAATTTCTCCATCAATGTTTTCTAAATCCTAACAACTGTTATTATAAAAAATTGAGACAAGATGTATAAAATATTATGTTTTCCTGGTTTCCATATTGCTTTAATTCACGAGCATTCTAAGTAACGTTGGATAGTGGTGGAATCCAGAACATACGTTTCGCCCTATTTGGCATTCGTCAGCTGGATGTACCTGAATCTCAGAGTTGATGTTCACTCCGGGACTCGAACCCATCTTTGCTTCGAATGCTTGTGACTTAAGGGAATATCGGGGCAATCCAAACTGGATGCACATATACCAATAAGAGCCTGATCAATTGCAATCCTAAACATCAATAGGAAGACACAAGTAAAACAACACCAAGTAAATTTAAACTCCACCCAATGGCACAAGCAAATGGCCATCGGGATGAGGTAGCTAAGTGCATAACGCGATGGCGTTTGAAGTGAACGGTTATGGGTTCGAGTCTCAGAGTAAACATCAACTGTGTGATGCAGCTACATCCAGCTGACGAGTCTCAAATAGATTGAAACGCACCTTATGGATTCCACTACTAGCCAATATCCGTTTATGCTTAGAATATAACATCATTTTATGATTAACTATCTTTCATAGATCATGTTTCTTATATCATAGATATTTATTCAGATCATATCAGGTAGTAAACGAAACAACTTTGAAATACCTAAAACTTTCAAAAACTTGGGATCACAAACATTATTCTAAGTTCACTTGAAAAGTAATTCGATTTTCCAGACTGAAGGTTCTTCGAGTTGGATAACTCTTTTCAATGGAGTACAAGTTTTTTCCAAAGACATAGTTCAGTATGACATATTGTTTTTTTTTCTTTTCTGAATACCTCATATGTAAATGCTCCAGGCCTCACACAATCGTTATTATTTTCTTATAGTTCTTACAATAAGAGTAAAATATTTTTTCTTAAAATTCATTGATGAAGCTTTTCAATTCAAAGTATATAGAACATTCAAAAAGGAAAATACTAATCTACTAACCTAAATTCAATATTTTTATTGGTTTGAAATCATTTTAGCAAGAAAAGAAGTACTTTCTTCAGCTCCAACATCACCAAATAGCAGTGATAATGAAACACCTGGTCCTATATCTTCAATGAAATTTCAATATAGAAAAGATTCAAGAAAATGTTTTCGTAAAATAACATCACAAACAAATTGGCGTAAACGTCAAGGTATGACATTTCGTTGTGGTCCATTCTTTAGTCGTACACATAATGGACTTGTAAATTCACCATATCAATCAGATGTTAGTCAATCAGCACCAAGTAGTCCTACAATTGATACATATGAAACATTACCACTTATTCCTAATGCATCAACAATAGATCAAGTTACAGAACAAATTAGTTCAAAACCATTCAATATTACAGTACATTCAAATTTACTTCATACTGAATCTAGAAATGATGAGTACAAAAATTTAGGATCATCTTGTTTTACTACTAATAAAGTGAAATACTCTGAATCAACATTACTATGTTTAATGCAACGTCTTGGGATACAGGTAATTCATTATAAACAATATTATTTTTACAAGTCATGCACATAACTAATATACTGTAAAATCCCGTGTTTAAATATAAAGAGAATGAATTAAGGGGAACTATATTTTAATAGATATATGTAGAAATCCTTTTTGATATCTAACCACTATGAACCCTTCTTCATTGATTCAGTTTCTACTAACTTTGTTGGCTAAGTTGAAAAGTCCAACTGGATGAATTGAGATATGATAAAGAAAGTATATTGGATAAATAGGATAAACACGATTCTGTCAAATTTTATATTTTACAGGTTGAAATCATGAGTCAGTTGAAGCTAGACCACCATTGAAAACCTGGAAACACTGGACGGCCGTTTCATCCTAGTATGGGACTCCTCAGCAGTGCGCATCCACGAACCCGCCCCCGCAGGATTCGAACCCTGTGAAATTTACTAAAATCTCCACAAAACTCATTCTGATAAAATTTTATATTGTTTTTTTCAAATTTGGAGGTCTGTTTAGTATACTACAAGAACATAGTTACTTAACTTTTTTTTCGTTCCCTTTTCTCATCTCCGTTTTTGACTTTACCAATGTGATAAATTACAAAAATTACATTGTAAATAGTTCCTCTCTTTAGAGAACAATTAGAACTAAACAGACTGGTGGGGTTTCAAACAGTTAAGCTTTAATGTGGACTTTCAACTTAAATATTCATGAAAGACTTAACTGCATTATCTACATAAACTATTGTTCCTTAATTATACCTTATTATGGTTACAATAATTGATATTCTATTGATATCAATAGAATCTTACCAAACATAAATAAACAAATTACTTTGATTTTACTGTTTGATCAAAGATGATTGAATTGAACTCACAATTGATTGATCACTGGGTAGTGATCAATGTCATGCTTGTCTGGTCCTTATTAGTGCAGATCGAATACTATCGATCATGTTGCAATGTGGCCACCAGTCTAGGTGACTCGACACTGTGGGCACTATATCTTGAGATTTAGATGGTGGTTGGAGGTAGTCAACAGGTAACCCTGAACCCGGGTTTCGTGCTACTTGGCACTCGTCAGCAAGGTGTACCTGTAATCTTGAAGGAAGTGGTGCTCCATGGCGGCTCAGATAGCTCAGTGGTAACGTCTCTGACTGTGAAGATGAGTGACACGAGGTCGAATCCGCCAGGGAGCACCAGTCCCCTCTAGATTACAGGTACATTTTGCTGACGAGTGCCAAGTAGCACGAAACCCGGGTCCAGGGTTTCCTGTTGACTACCTCCAACCACCATAGAATTGAACTGTCACATGAAAACAAGAATCCAACAATTTACTTTCATGATTCAAATCAATAGACAAAATGCTCTAGTAATTTAATGTTAATTAATGCTCGTGAACACCTACCAGAGTGCCGAAACAAAGTTTTAATGTTATTTACTTGATGAAATGTTACTTGAAACATTTTATAGACACCTATTCTTTAATTAACTGATCAAAATCTTAACATCTATTCTATGTTCATAGTTGAAGCGATAGTAAGTTACATGTAAATTAGATTACAGTGTTAAACTATAGACAGAATTACAGAGTTACTTGGTAAAATAGAAAAACCATACTTCATTTGAGAAATATTCATTAATTGTCTCAAACTGCATTATTCCTACATTTTCATACGAATTGCTTTCTGTTCCCGTTCTTCTTCCTTTTCCAATCTGCTGCCAAGTATTCGATTCCTGACATATGTTTTATACTACTTATGGCGATATAAGTAACATACATCAAAAGAACACATTTTACTTTGATTATGTTTTTTTACAGGAATAAATTTTGTAAAAAAGAAATTGTGTTTAAGTGATTTAGACATCTGAATTTCAGCAGTCGTTACAGTCAAGAATTTACATCACTGAAACAGGTTTATTGATAATACAAAGAGAAATATATATGATAAATGAAAGACACCAGTTGATTTGCTTAATCTACATTTCATTTAAATTCACTTGGTGTTGTTTTACTTGTCTTCCTATTGATGTTTAGGATTGCAATTGATCAGTCTCTTATTGGTATATGTGCATCCAGTTTAGATTGTCTCGATATTGCCCTAAGTCACAAGCTTTTTAAGCAAAGATGAATGGTGATTAGTAGTGGAATCCAGGACATGCGTTTCGTTCTATTTGGGACTTGTTAGCTAGATGTACCTGCATCTCAGCATTGATGTTCACTTCGGAGTGAATATCGATTCTGGGATGCAGGTACATCTAGCTGATGAGTCCCAAATAAGACGAAACGCGCGGCCACGATTCCACTGCTAGCCACTATCCATCTTTACATTTCATTTGTACAAATAATTTTACAGGAACTATCTCGTATAAATCTGAAAGATATATCTTATTATTTAAGGTAGCTTATATATCACAGTCTATATGAGACATTCAATGTTTTGAATTATTTATAATGTGAATAAAATATATTGATTCATGTAACATGAAAACAAAGTTGGCCAAAGTATTCAACGTGTTATCATTGTTATGGTTACAATTATCATTGGTAGTAGTAGTAGTAGTAGTGTTGCCATTATGAAAAGAATGAAAACGGAAACTTAACAAGCAAAAAAAAAGAAAATCAGTCACAAATTCCACAAAATCTAGATATGAATATGGATTACGTAACAAGCTAAGAAAATGCTGAAATTGAAGTTTATACTATTGAATTACCCACTTATTGTAACCAATCGAGAAAAAAATCTGTATTGTAAGCAAAATGTATTGCACAAAATGTCAAAAGCTCATTGACTTTAGTGTACATTGGGGGGGGGGAAATCGAGTTATAGAAACTTTAGTTTAGAACAATCCCACCTATCTTCTATGAAAATAAACACTCATTATAATACGGTGATCATTTAAGTCACTTAGCATTGCTTAGGAATAAAGAGAATACTGGTACTATGGGATCTGCTTATTTCAATTCAATCTAACATAGAGCCAGATGAGAATTTCTCAAGTATGTGATAACATCTCTTACTATGCCAGTTGCTAAGATCATTTCATGAAAGTTGAAGAGCTTTTGTTCACTCTTTTTCGATAATTGTTACCGTATATGAAGCTGTCATCTGTCAGGACATTTTGTCGACTGCATATCGATTACTAATAAAGTTAATGTTGTTAAAAATTACCATTTTTAAACATATACATTAATAATTTAGCAAAGAATTTAATGATTAATTGTTACTTCATTATAATTTATTGTAATAGTCCGTTTGGCCTTGTCTATTGGAACATGGAGTTGTAGATGTGGATCGATTAAGCAAATTGACTAGAAATGAATTAATTGAAATGGGTGTTACAGATGCTGAGACGAGAGCTACATTAATGACAGCTGCTCAGCTTCTTACAGATTCATGGTTAAGTAAGTCAGTGAACATAATAGTTACTTAATTGATTATTTTCTATGAATTTAGTATACGATTCAACGATTGGAACCAAATCAGTAAACTTGAAACCTCTGAATAAGTGCTCTGTTGTAGTCGATGGATTTTTAGAGAAAACTTCAATTCCATTTAGGAGTACATTTAGGACATTTAAATTTATTGATGATCACATTGTTTCCTCCACTGCTTTTTTATTTAAAATCGGTTGGTTATGACATTTGAGTGAAATGATTCACCTTCACACACAGATACACTCTTGGTATTAATCCATTAATAGTACTAAACGTTTAGTGGTGAAATATAAAATCCTTCTGTAACAACTAATACAGAGACACTTATTCACCGCACGTCATGGATGAGAGTTGGAGAATATCGTGTATTGATTGAAGTTACGCAATAATGCCCTAAGATGCCGTCTCGGTGGTGAGAGGTCAAGCGTTTATGTAAGAGACCGAAGGTCCAAAGTTTGATCTCCACGTTCAAGGTCGTGGGTGTGCTGTTGATGAGTTCCATACTGGAGTTAGACGTTCATAAAGTGCTTTCAGGTTTTCAATAGTGGTTTAGATTAGATCATTTCACTGGTTAAACTATGAGAATTCTACAGTCTCCCGAACTCCATCATTCTACCTAAAATCTTGTTTAAAAGGAGTTGTTCCCCGAAGACTGTATTCTGTCAGCTAGTGAACGCGTAAACACTGAAAGCAACCGATAAAGTTTTCAAAATCTGTTGAGAAAACCAAGAAGTACTGTAACCTGTGCATTGTCTACTGATCGATTCTTAAATTAGTGAAAACTTATTTCACAGATACTACTGTTAACCATTACGAAGTATAAATCATACGTGCTGCAATTCTGTGATGGAATAATCATCAAAATGTTTTCCTTCAAGCAATCCTTTATCTATTTTATGTGAAAAAGTGACATACTGAATCTTACTGGTTAATCCGCAAACTGTTTAAAACTCTGATCAGTGTATTAATGAACACTGAAACAATGCTGAGCAATGAATGACGTACTTTATTATGAATCATCTGTAAACTCACTATAATTCTTCTCAGTAAATACAAAGAGAATAACTTCACATCATAAATGTTAATCTAGAGCTTAGATTTTTGCTATACCGCGTACTATTTAAGCACTGAAACACTAGAACCATGCTATTCGCAAGTGAGAAGACCGAAAACGAGTAAGAAGAAATGATATACCATTGTCAAATACGGTATAAAACTCTAAGATATTTATAGTTTTTAGTACAAACAAAATCATCATTACAGTTATCCAATCCACATACAGTGGTTTTTTAGCATTTGCCAAATAGGGAAGCTACACGTCGAGATTCTGGAATGTTCTTCTAAAAGATGATTGGATGGAATATCTTCGGCTCTTTTTAAACTTCTTGGAGCTTCCTCACAATAAGCAAATATGTTTATGAGAAAATGTCATCGTAACAAGATAACAAAAAACAAGAATTTTTTATTCTTATTTATTTTTAAAGATTTCTAATGATCATTCTATACAATTTTTAGGGGAGTATTTCATGTGTTAGAAGTGTGTATTAGTAAAACAACTCATCAAAAATATTTTTAATCAGAGAAAGGTTTTGTGGATATTATAGTAATTTAGCAGCCGAATTCATAAGTCAGTTGAAGCTGGACAACCATAGAGAACCTCAATGCGCTGAACGGCTGCCTTGTCTTATCATGGGACCCCTCAAAAGTACTCATCCATGAACCCAAATGCCCTAGTATGGGCGAGAGTGGGGAAAGTCCGCTCTCCCTCTCAAAATGCTCTCACATGGCCACGCGTATACAGCCTCTGCCAGGGAAGTCCTACTCACCGCCTTCTCGTGGCGTTGCTGTTGTTTACGGAAATGAGAGGACGAAAAGCGAATGCCCGGCGATTTAACCGGATTCCAAATCAATGGTGCACATGGGCTCCAGTATCCTGCAGGAACAAATGGCGTATGAACCAATCGTTGGTCACCGGCTTCCATGGGACTGCATCTCTTTACGATGCTCCACTGCCTTTTGGATCAGACCTTCAGGTCGAAGGCTCGGGGAGTGGCCCCCTAAGAAAACCACCTGCTTCGGTTTGGGCACCCGGTCAGTATAACAGCCCTCACACATATCGAATGAGATTTGTGTGGCGCATATATATTTGGTGCTTCTTTGTACCAATATATATGTGTTAAAATAAATAGATAAAATACCCACCTCACGAGATTTGAACCCAGGACCTATCAGTCTCGTGCGCGAGCGCTTAACATGTAGACCACTGAGCTGGCCGGCATCTAACGGTGTTAATGTTGCGCCACCATCTACCATTGTCATCAGTGAATTACTATCTCACAACAGACGTGTTTGAACTCCACTAGATAATTATAACTTATATAAGGGGTAAATGTCAATAATGATAATAGTTAAATCACTGTTGAACTATGAAACAATATCTTGAGGTATATTCAAATGTTTGTTTATTCCAATTGTTTAAACAATTCATTGAATATGTAATAACTTTTCATATTCTTATTATATTTTTTTCTTGTTATCAATATAAAAGATCCTTCATTATTCCATAGAACGTTGAATAGATCATTTGGAAAAAATTCAAAAGATTTATACGATACTCAAAATATTCATGATTCCGGTATCTCAAGTGGAACAGATATTACTAGTTCATGTTTAACATATAAACCACAATATACAAATTTTTGTAATAATAATACTAATACTACTAATAATAATGAATCAACAAGTCGTCTAGAAGGAATTACATCTGGTAAATCCGAACAAATGGAACAATATCAATCACGGTAATGTTTACATGGAGTATATTTACATGTGTTAATTACTCAAGAAATGACTAATGTGTTACTGAGTAAAATTTATCAATGATTAATGTTCAAATAGGTTTCTTACTTTAAAGATTTTAATGATGAGTATTTTGTTTCTAAGACAAAATCAAATTGAACTTCTTCGTTTAATCACTTCACATAAAGATGTATGTATAGATTTGATAGTAATCACATACGATCTAACTGACACTTCTCGATACAGTAATTATAAGTTTGCCATTTATAATATAACGAACTGAAGATTAGATCATGTTTATAATCGGTACGTTTATTATCTGACATATTCAGTTAAAATAAGATCAAACATTGATAATGTTTGGGTATTTGAGCATAGTCAACACTGTGATAGTGAGAATTATTGTTTTAGGTGCTTCAAAACTATATGACAAAACAGATAAGAATTATTGTCTATAAATGAGTGATCATTAAGTAGTGACCGTTGTCATATATGTCAGACCTTTCTTTAGTGCTGGTTGAATTCCATTGATCAATTTCAATGTTACCACCAGGGTTTCCAGTAGACCAATCCCAATCATCTTCTTTTCATTGCTCACCCTTTTTATGTGTATTTACTATATTACTCATTAATATTCAATAGTTTATGTGATTATCTATTATTGCGGAAAGTATTACTTTTGATATGTTTATTGCTATGTGCCTCTCTTTTCAAACATTTCTACACATCTCTGACGTTATGATCTATTTTATTGTTCTAATTACATTCTAAAACCGTGTTTACTCATCCTCCTGATTGCATGTATTCTTCATCGAAGTTTTCTGTTTAAAAACCCTTCATAGTTGTAACGGTGCTCTATCCTATTTATGAACAACAAATATTGATTCAAGACATTATCATGCTGCCACACAATTTACTCTATGTAGCGCGATTTCATCTGTACACAACTGTTCGAAAGACTAGCGTTCTCTTAGACTGTAAGTTATAACGTTACTAACACTCTGGATACTCAGCGATTAAGTGTATGTAAACTCTGCTGTTTTCGTTGTCTCCCCTTAACAGTATTGTTTAGCCAGTTACCAGGCCAAAATTATAGACAGAATTTACTAAACATATATACGTAGTTCCTAAGTATTGGAAACGAAACATTGCAACATAGAGTTATGAGAGAACAATCTTCATTTCAAGAAAAATTCTTATCAATTTCTACAGTTACAAGTTTAAATTATTGTTGTTCCCAAGGATTGATTAAGCTTAAGACAAACATATCTCTGGTTTAGCAACAAAATTGGAACCATTTCAGCTGATAAAGTGATTAACGTGAACTTTTATATTCCTTTTGCCTAGATGGGGTTATGGTCAACACATGCCTACTGAACATAATGGATCTGTTAAAATGACCTCATATGAAGAAATCAACTCAAATATGCCAATCAGACAAAACGTTGGATCTTACCAAACAATAAACTCTGATAAGAACTCATTTCAAAATGGTAAGTATTTAATGAATTTATTAAAAAGATGACTATTAGCTGATGCAACAGAAAAATGGACTCATCATTTAGTAATAATCTGGTTAATCTGCTATGCAACACATCACTAACTAGTCTTCATGATACCAGGATGCATTGCTGTCAAACTAAATACCACATTATTATCCAAAGCCTCATCTAGTTTTGGATATCTCAGTGTCAAAAAGCGGTTGTCTTTAACGATCTTATCTATGAGGTTAAGTGTTAAGGTGTACGATCTCAGCATGAAAACATACCTTATTGATGACAAATGGCAAAAACAATTATTATGTTCAGACCTAGATATATCTAAATTGCTGTGGTTGTTCACCTACTTATTCTGTTTACCTTGGTCTGGAAGTCATTCAAAATACAGAAACCCTTTCAATATAAAACAGAACCTTCAGTTAATTATTTCTGTTAATGAACAAGAGGATTTCCAGTGCTGTTAGAAGTAGGAAGGTGATTATCTCTTTCCTGCTGACCATACCGTGGAAGCATATGTCTTCTTGAGGAGACTGAAAAGGAAACCGGATTAGCGGTAATCGTAGTGACCTGGAAGCGTGATTGCAGAGCCCAAGAGACAAATGCTTGAGGCAGATCGCACACAGCCTATCTGTGAAAATCTTGTGCTTCAGAGACTGAAATCCATATGGTAAGGCGAGAAGCACTGGATGGCCTGTCCTATTGTGAGACTCCAGGTTTTCCATGGTGGTCTAGCTTCAATTAACTCATGTTCTCAGCTGTTAAAGTTATTATAATGTCCACAAAACCCCTCTCCGATTATAATCATCATATGCTCGTTAGTGACTGGCTTCAAGAGGTATTTCCTGGAGTTCTAGTGAGAAGCCGTGTCCAGTGGAGTTCAACCGGGTCTGTTGTGAGATAGTAACTCACTGAAGACAGTGATGGATGTGTCGCTCAGTTTCGTGGATCAGTTTAAGTTAGACATTAACACCATTGGATGCCGACCAACTCAGTGGTCTAGAGGTTAAACGTTCGCGCACGAGACTGATAGATCCTGGTTTCGCTTGTCGCGAGACGGGCTCGTGTGTGCGCACTGTTGAAGAGTCCTACAATGGAACAAAACACCCATTCAGATTTTCCATAGTGGTCTAGCATCAGTTGACTTATGATGTCAACCATTAAAATTACTATCATATACACAAACAACCCCTTCTGATATTAAGTATTTATCACCTGTACTCAACAATTAAGTCATTTTGATCATTGTTATAACAGTTATTTACAGTGTCAGTTGTAGTTTACCTATAACCTGACAATCAACAACAGTTTTAGTATCTTATTTTAATTTCTACATTTTGAAAATATATTACAATACAATATTACTTTTTCATTTATAGTTTCCAGAGTATTTGGTGAAATGCAATGTCAGTCAGTAAGTTTACTTCTTTTCAAAATAATTCAACGTTTTATTCTAACTACCTGTTATTGATAAAAGTGTGAAACTTTTGAAAAACTCAATATGTTTTACATAGCAACCACATTCTAACCCAGAGTACTTTCTGAATGTACTAAACGACTCCAAAGATATACGGTTAACAATAAGAGGTGGAGTTGTCTTTTAAACTGTTTGTTCTTTCTCATATGTTATTGGTGGTAAAAATTATTTTTTTTTGTTGCTTCAACTAAAGTTCTAAAGATTTGGTATGATAGGAAGAATCAGACAGTCTAAAGATTTTGTGCATCACGGAGTGATAGCTGAAGATGCGTTGCAAAACCAATGAGTACTTAAGAGTTGATTGAGCTTTCAAACTACTTATTTGTCCTCGGCTTCTCAAAAATATCTCAGATGAGTATTATGGCTTGTACTAATATTTAGTTATCTGATTTGCAATGAGCATCTCACAAGATCTAATGGAAAGCAATCAGTATTTCGGAAGTGGTTGACGAAGAAGAACTATGCAGAATATGAGACACCGAATAGTTGGCCAGATAGTGACGCAAAAACTTACCTACTTAATTACGCCTGTTGCCCTCATAGAGCAGCATAGGCCACCCACTAACATTCTCTACCAAACTCTGTCCTAGAAAGTCTTTTCCAGTTCTTTCCAGTTGCTATTCATCCTTTTCATATCTGCTACCAATGCCCGACATAGTGTGTTCTTGTTAATTGATGATGCTGACCAGGTAAGTGAAAGACTCCATATCCTCCACAGTTCCTCCGTCAAGTGTGATAATGTGTGATGTTCTCCGTGTTGTATATGAGGATCCTCATTTTTCCTTGTGTATGTTGAGGCCTACTGATATAGAAGCTGATGCTACACTAGTCGGCTTCATCTGCATTTGTTGATGTGCATAAGACAGAAGGGTCAGGTAATCTGCGAAGTCCAAATCTTCTAGTTACATCCAAACTGTTCATTGTACTCCGTGATTCCCTTCAGATGTGAGGGTCTTCACAACCCAGAAGGAAGAGAAAGTGGGAGAGTAGGAAGCCCTGTCCAACTGCGATCCCCATACAGAATGCATCTGTCAGTTGTCCTCTATGCACCACTTTTCAGGGTAGTCCGTAGTATGAATTCCGGATGATGTTGACAACTTTATCAGCTACCCACTACATTGTGTCCAAGAAAAAGCTTCCATAATGTTCTCCTATCCACACTGTCAAATACTTTCTCTCAATCAATGAAGTTGATGTAATGTGACCTGTTTCATTCAATTGATTGTTTAACGATGATCCGTAGTGTCGCGATTCAAGTCTGTTCACGATCTCTCCTTACGGAATCCAGTCTGTTGATCTCGAAGTTTGGTGTCTACTGAATCTTTCATCCGATTCAACAACACTTTGTTGAACACCTTTCCTGGTACCGCTAGTAGTGTGGTGTCTCAGTAGTTCTCAATGTAAATGTTTAATATTTTGTAACTAATAGTAAAATCATTAAAAAGCTTGAAACAACTAACTCATTAACAATATTATTGATTGAAATACAAATTAAACTCCATTTGATTCAAAGTTGCCAGCGGTACACACAGAAGTACTTTTTTAAGCTTTATTATTGATTGTTTAAATTAGTGATTAGTTGTATTCACAGAAAAACTGTTTCCATTATTTATATACTTTATTAATAATCTATAAAATGTGTTCAACATTTGACTTTCATAAATTTTTTTTGCCTTCAATTCATTTAGCAAAAACATCCAGTAAGTATTCTACGAAATAGTCGACTATCCAAAGATAATCAACCTGATATTGATAATGTAAAACGATCATCATCAAGTACACCAAAAACTGTAAAAATTGATGAACGATTTCTATTATCATCAAAACATCATCAACAACAACAACAACAACAACAACAAAAAGAAATTAATCTATTGAATACACCTATACAACCATTACAAACTTCTACTCTATCGACAACTGCCAATTATTTTGTACAGTATCCTCAAAATAATCAACAATATATCTCTAATACAATACAAACAATAAATGATAATACAAAGAATGTATACATTCAACATATTTATTTAGCTAGGCATATCTTAAGAAAGAAATTAAATACAGAACATATTGATCTTACTCAACCACCTTATTCTGATGAGGTTAGTTAGTTTACATTGGTTTTTGTTCATATTACATATTCATACTTTTGTTTAAAAAGATCCAATTTTGTTTCATTAGAATTCCCCCATCGATTTAATTCATTACCATAAGTTGCTTTTGGAAATCATATAATCGTATTGATTCAGGGACTAGATGTTTTCTTTTTAATTGTCGTCTTCGTAAGATACAATATAGTTGTATTCTCGGTTCAACATTCTACTAGAACCTTATATTGTGGTGTGAGCTACTTATATTGATATGAGTAGTATATAACCTGAGTTAAAAAAACGTGATGTCTGGCAGCAGAAGATGAGGTGAAGATCAGGAAAGGAAGAGCGAGAGCACAATGAAATTTGTAAGAAAACGCGTGTACAATGGAATGGAAGACAATGGACTGGTGTTTGCAACAGAAACAGTCCAGTTTGGTTTGATGCATGAATATTTTGCAAATTGACAATTTACTATATGGTATTCAGATTTTATTGAGATAGTCTGTAACTGTTGTAATGAATACATCCGATTATCCCCACCCGTGTTCTTGTTCACTACAATGTCACTCATTTGTTCATGATTTCTATCATACTAAAGGGAGTTATTCGAGTAATCAATTTAATAATAGTCTATAATTCACTTGGTATTGTTTGGCTTGTATCTTCCCATTGAGGTTTAAGACTGCACTTGATCAGTCTGTTATTGGCATATGTGCATACTGTGCGTATGCCTCGATATTACCTGAATTCACAAGCTATTTGTAAACAATGATGGAGAGTGGCTATCGGGATTCAGTAACTGAGTGGATAACGCGATGGCGTTTGAAGTGAGTGGTACTGGGTTCGAGTCCCAGAGTGAACATCAACTCTGAGATGTAGGTACATCCAACTGACGAGTCCCAACTGGGACGAAACGCGCGTTCTGGATTCCACTGCTTACTAATAGTCTCTAAGTTCCAAAATTTAACACCGTTGGAGTTTCACAAACTACTCTCAGTTAATCGTACTGATTCAGTGTATAATTATCAACTGAACAAATAAATATGGCGAGACTATAATTTATGAACCAACCAATCACATATAAGATAATAGGTCTCGGATTTTGGCACGAAATTCGCTCATCCATTTGGATGAATAGAGTTTTGGTATTATAGCTGATCTCAGTTTGTGATGAACACCTTAAATCTAGTTTCTAACCTTATTCATCAACTGTACATTATGATTCTAATTCCTCATACAGGGTTATAACCCTTATTCGGTCCTGGTTATTAAATGGACACGTAGATGATCTATGTCGAAATGATTGGAGGCCTACTCGAGTTAGATGTGAATGGTGTGACAAACTAGCTAACGTCGAAGTCACACCTCGTAGTCAGCACCTTACGTGGACTACCCCATTGATGTATCAAGGTACTATAGATGCTTTGAAGACTGTACAACACAGCGGACGTTATTACAGAAATATATTAGTTAAAGTAGATACAAGCGAAGGTAAGACTACTGCCGCGTGGGCCAGTCCGTGGCGTACGATTAACTGATGCGCGTCAGTTGTCCTTGACCTTGACGAGGATCGATGATTTGTTTGACAATCAATGACCCAACTGCTGGATGATTTGACTAGGGCTCAGTTGAATTTCACTGACCCCACACCCTCAAGGTCAGTCTAGCGTCGCTAAAAGGTCGTTCGTCAACTATAATCTCATCATAAATATAATGTGTGTATTAAAGATATAACCTATTATAATTCGCAGATAATTGAAATGGATTCAACTAGTTAGAGACCTATGTTTCGAATTGATAATGTACAACTATTCTGTTTGTACATTAAAACCGCCTTGACAAAATATTTAAGAATGCATTTCTGATTGTATCTAAATGTTCCAAGTTTGACTTAAGAAAGAATGCAAATGAAATCTTGCTGAAATACCCAGATATTTTTATAGATGATACAAAAATAAATAAAAACTTCTTGATTATATCTGAATATATCTGAATATAAATGACTGTAATGGTGGAATATAATCTTGAATCTAGTGTTTGGATATGAAATAATTCTCTATTTGAAACCTGTGTAATTTGCCTTCTATTCTACATCGAGTTATATATCAGTTATATTTCAATCATAACAATTGTTCATTATGCCATAACAGACTTACCATTCAAAATCATTCACAAGATGAAATGGAACTTGTTAGAGATACTGAATCTTCAAACATTCTACACTACACAATCACTTGTCAGCTATACAAGGAATCTCAATCTATGTGTTAAAATCAACTTATCTAACCATTTCATTGATCATGATTCAAATGTATAATCTTATAAATCAATTCTTCCACAATCTGTTTATCTTGTATTTTCAAACGAATTGTTCATCATTCCTGATTGTCTTACCATGATATCAAACCGATTTTCATAGTTATCAATCTTTATCTTAATTCTGTTGGATTTTGAAGTTCATTTCGTTTTCACTTTCTGATTTATATATATATATTCTGTTTGTATGTTTATGTTGTGAATGTATTTCAAACGGCTGAAGATCGTCACTTATCTAATTAATTGTGCAAGTTTATTTTGATGTTAGTGGATTCGAAGGTCCTGGGTACGAGTCTCTTTAGTGAGGAATCGTGGATGAGCTCCATACTAGGACAAAACAACCGTTCAACGCTATCAGATTTTCAATGGTGGTCTGGCTTAGATCGACTCATGTATTCAACTATTAAGTTACTACAATGTCCACAAACCTCAATTCTGATAATTTGAAATTTTCTATAACAGACGAATCTGTTATTTGTTCATATCTATGAATCTTCTTTGATTTCTTATCGGAATAACAGTCATCTATGTGAATAGTTCAAATTAGATCGTGATTATTTAGTGATAGTACTGGAAGACTTTTTTCAACTAAAATATGATGTGTCTAGCATGAATAGTACCAATCATTGTATTCTATACATATTTTAAAAAAGGTGATATATATATATATATGAATGTGAATTTTCAAACATACTTAATTAGAATGAAATAGAAATATTTTAATAGCTGAATACATGAGTCAGTTGAAGCTAGACCACTATGGAAAACGTGAAAACACTGGATGGCCTTTTTGTTCTATTGTGGGACTCCTCAGCAGTGCGCATCCACGAGCCCGTCTCGCGAGAGGTGAAACCAAGACCTATCAGTCTCGTGCGCGAATGTTTAACGTCTAGACCACTGAGTTGGTCAACATCCAATGGTGTTAATGTCTAACTTAAAGTGATCCACGAAATTGCGCCACCGTCCACTATTGTCATCAGTGAATTACTATCTCATAACAGACCCGGTTGAACTCCACTGAACACGGCTTCTCACTAGAACTCCAGGAAATACATCTTAAAACCAGTTACTGGTGAGCATATGTTGATTAACATCAGAAGGGGTTTTGTGGATATTATAGTTACTCACTAATGACAATAATGGACCGTGGAGCAACTTCGTGGATTGTTTGAAGTTAGACATTATCCCTGTAGGATACCGACCAACTCAGTAGTCTACAGGTTAGGCGCTCGCATGCTAGACTAATAAGTCCTGGGTTCAAATCTCGTAAGGCAGGATCGTGGGTGCACACCTCTGAGGAGTTCTATATAAGGTAGAAACGGCCATCCAATGTTTCAACGTTTACCATGGTACTTTAGTTTCAATTAATTCATGAATTCAACTATTAAAATGATCATGATATCCACAAAACCCCTCTCTGAATATAGAAATATCCTCTCATTTCAGAACTCATTGATCATGTATCATGCAACACTATTACATAAGTTCTCAATGAAAATTAAACAAGATGATGTAAACGACAGAATTTGTTTTTTGTTACCCTGTCAATGTTAAAGTTATCAAAACAATAGACTCTTCAAATTTCATATCAATCTATGTTTAACTAAATGAAAGTTTAGTTTATTGATCTATTTTGGTATAGTTAATGTTGAATTATTCAATTAACTTTTATCTTCTACTTTTCATAGTTTGGTCGAGCAAATATTCCTTTACGTTTAATTCAACGTTATTCATTTGAAACAAATTTAGATCTTCTTACTGTTGCAATGGCATTAGAAGCTGAAAGAGATACTAATTTGAGAGAGATACGAAGACCTGTGGTATGTTAACATTCAATTGATTTTAGGTTATTTCATTAGAAGTTATTGATTTTTTTTTTAATAAATATTTGTATCCAAACTGTTAAGTTAGAAATCGAGCTTAATTAAGTTAAGGTTCTGCTATCAATATTCTTCTAACCAGTGAAATCATCAATATCATCATCATCATGTCACAGCATGTGCATGCATTAATGAACATTAGCAATTACATCATGAGAGAGGAACTTATCTAAATTGTATGTTCTAAACTTCTAAGTTATTGAACGTTTATTAAATTATACTTTCAATACATTGAAATTAGGTTTATGCATTCATGTTGTGATTTATGCCTGGTAACATGAAGCATTCGATTACAAATAGATCATATTTGTATAAACCACTAGAGTTATGTTGAAACAGAAGGTTCTGTTATGACTTTATGTTCGACTTATACAATCTTCGCACTTTGCCAAACCAATGACGTCCGACCGGTATGAGCAGCCTAGCTTCTTATTTGGTCCCATATCTGTCTAGCCTGTCCAGTTGAGTCTACAACACCAAATATCAGCTTCCAATATGCGAATCGAATGGAATCATTTATTTCAGATATACTGGGTTTATATATCAAGCAAACAGACCGCAACGCACCATAAGATAGGAATATATTCATATCGTATTAGTCCATTAATAGGTCTGAGAAGTTACTCGTAATTTAATCTTCACTAGGATATAACAGGTTCAAGTCACTGAATCAATAAGTGTACACTGTTAGAATATTGATGTCATGCTTCTTAAACATTCACTTTTTCAAATGTTAGATATATAATCGAGATATCACCACTGTTAGCCACTATCCACCTTTGTTTATAAAGCTTGTGACCTAAGGTAATATCGAGGCAGTCCATACATATGTCAACAAGAGACTGATCAATTGTAGCCTTAAACAACAATGGGAAGATACAACTAAACAACACCAAGTGAATTTGACCGCTTACAATATAGACTCTCTTTGACAACATATAAATCATCCGATTAATGCCTTTAAATACTATGTAGTGAACGAGAGAACAAGTGGGGACAATCGAATGTATTTGAACACAAAATTACAGAACATGTTGGTAAAATCTGAGAACAGTAAAGTGAATAATTAAGTTTGCAAAATGTCATTCAATCGTCTCAGACTTCATTGTTCCTGAATTTTCATACCAATTGTTTTCTGTTCCGGTTCTTTCTGTCTCGACCTTCTGCTGCCGGACATTCTATTCCTGACTATCATTTATATACTACTCATATCGATATAAGTAGCACAGACCACAACTGCATTAGAAATCAATAGATTACGTAATCAGATAGTGATTCGATATTTCACTGATTACATTCAAAGAGCTTACTGCATAGAATTAATATTTAATAATTTAGTTATTAAATTAATAAAATAAAGATAGAAATGAATAGATCAGTGATAATAAGTTTATTAAATTGTATTAAAGAAATAAGAGGATATACATTGTGATTAATCACTGGAAGGTACCACAATAAGTAAAATGCATTGACAAACTTCACATTTCTATCTTAGTCTAATTATTTTGAATTTACATGAATAAAATTAACTTAAACTGAGATCATGTATCAAGCTGATGGATAATTTGATCTACTGGTTTCACTATTATGTAATGTGGCGTCGAGTCGTTGTTGACTATGATCACTACTACAGGAAGACTATGTGCCAGTTAACCGATAAGGTCCCCCGTAGGCCAAATATCAGAAGGCAGTTGGTGGCTGTAGTCGAGATGTATCTGTTGGTGATCTCGTGATATCGAAAGAATACCGAGATCGTGCCAAAGAAGTACAAGTGTGGTTACTGAGCGTAACCGAATTCGTGCAAGGTAACAATCAAAAGAAGAACGTAAGTGTTTTGGTACAGTTAAACCAACAAGTACGGTAAAACAACCCGTGGTACAACTGGTTATAATAATAATAATTGTTTCCATTACACCAATCGCGTTCTCTTGATAAAAGTAGGTCACTACAAAGGTTCCTGGAATAATGTAAAACATATATAAACTATTTAGTAGCTTTCACGTATTATTTTAGTAATTACAAGCTTTAAAGGCTTTTCATTTACAGAATTAGGTAATGATATGCCAACAAATCTAGATAGTTTCAAGATTTATCATGAAAGTAATTTTATAGTGTATAGAATAGGCATGAAGAAGCTATCTACATTGTCATCACTTCGACAGTGAACCCGATTTCCGTGTGAATGTTTTACAAATTAAGTAGGTTTATCACTAATAATATGGGCAGAGATGGATGGTGGCGAGCACTGGAATATAGGAAGTGCGTTTTGTCTTATTTGGGATTCGTCAACTGGATGCACCTGAATTCTAGAGTTGATGTTCACACCAGGACTTGATAACGCGGTGGCATTTAAACCGAACGATATTGAGCTTGAGTTCCAACTCTGGGATGCAAGTACATCCAGCTGAAGAGTTTTAAAGAAGGCGAAACATGCATCCTGAATTCCACTTCTAGCTACCATCCGTCTTTGCTTAAAAAGTCTAAATAAGTAATAACATAAACTGAATATGTTTTACTTTATTAATTTGAATGTAAAAAAAACATACACTGAAACAAATCTATAACCAATACACATGACACTAAGGGTTATAAAAGTTGAGATACAATCAAAATCATAGAATATGTAAATTCACATGGTATTATTTGCTTAAATCTTCCCATTGATGTTTAGCACTACAATTGATCAGTCTCTTCTAGGCATATATGCATATGTGTAAATAGGAGGAAATGCGCTTTCTAAATTCCTCTGTTAGACACTATTCATAGAATATGTAAGTCAATAGTTTTTGTGTATTTCACATTGTAGCATTATATTTATCTTAATAAGATTGTTGTTTTGTATCTTTTTTTTTGTTTTCTCTCTAGATCTCATTCAATGAAGAGATTCGATCACAACGTTTTCTTAATTGTGATGGTATAAAAACAGGCAGTTTACAAGAATTTTTAATAACCATCGGTTTACCTATGTATATAAATCATATATTACATTATAATAGTATAACTACAAATAGTAATAATAATAATAATAATAATAATAATAATAATAATCATAGGTGTTTACTAATGACACCGGCAGATTTACTTAATATGTCCAATGGTCAATTACAAGAGAAATTTAATTTTCTACCTATTCATATACAATGGCTTCGTCAAGAAGCATCAGTTATTCCATGGATATTATTAAATCAAACAAATTCAACAAAATATTCCACAATGAATTATACAACAAATAATATATATAGTTTACCACGTACATCAATAACAAATCATTGTTGTCGAAGAAGTTCATCTCAATTAAGAAAATTACAACAACCTTCATCACAACCACCACCACCACCACCGCCACCACCACCACCGCCACCACCACCACCGCCAACATCACAACAACAACAACAACAGAAGCGTTCAACAACATCAACTCAATCATTCATTAATCATTGTCAACATCATCAATTACAAGATTATCATGAAGGACATGAACAATCCGATGATAATTTCATTAATTTAGAACATCTTGTTGATAAAGTTTAGATTAAATTTATATAAATATACTTTTAGTATTTCTCTTTAATTGATTTAATTCAAGAAGAAAATTAATATGAGACATTTGTATTTAGTTAAATGATGTTTTGGTTTGGTTTGTTTTTTTATTATTATTAATTAAAGACTGGAATCTATCAACATTATTTAGTATTGTGTAAGCATCTCTTTCTTACTGAATTCATTCCAGTGATGAGTAAATACTTAAAATAAAGCATTTTTTTAAAAAAAAAAATAAGGAATTCACTATCTACATTGTAGATATGGATATGGAGGATCCGCCTATGGAGAGTTGGAGTAGCCTCATTTCAAACCAATGGTGTACATGGGCTCTAAGATTCTAGGGAAACAAATGGTGTATGAATCAATTGTTAGTCATCGGCTACCATATGGACTAGATCTCTTTACGTTGCTCCACTACCTTGTGGATTAGATCTTTAGGTCAAAGGCTTGAGGTATAGCTCCTTAAGAAAACCACTTGTTTCGGTTTAGGCACCCTGGCAGTATTTCAGCCCTCACATAAATCAAATGATTTATGTGGTGCCTCCCTTTTCCAATGTTTATGTGTCTAAACAAATCAATCAATCAAGTTAGTAATGGTACATTCTAATAAAGAAATATGTAACATAAATGAAGTCGATTAGGATGATGCAATTAATGTTACCTCAGAGGAACAGACAGATGGTTTGCTTTGGGTTGTGTTGGGTCCAGTGTGATTGAGCCATAATAATAACAGGTAAGCAGTTGTTTAATCTCTCTCAGGTTGGATTATCAGTTGTCTGAACTAGGATCTTGCTCAACCATACATCCATTGTTTGAGGTGGATATCACTCTTCACGCGACACGGATAGGACTCTAGTGATCACGGCTTTTCATTAGAACTCCAGGAGTTACATCGTGAAGCTATTCACTAGTGAGCACAAATTTTCTTCAGCAAATGGATTTGTGTAGTTTGTAGTATTTTCGTAGTGATCTAGAGGTTAATCGCACACAGGCGAGACCAAAGGTCCCATGTTCGAGTCCCATATGCAGAATCGTGGGTGCGCACTGTGGAATAGTCCAATACTACCAGTACTGTTTAGTGCTTCCAGGTTTTCAATGGCGGTTAAGCTTAGATTGGTTGGTGAAAATACCATAATCTCCACAAATCCCCATACCAATACCTTAACTATATTTGAACCGGTGACTGTTTATTTACCAACTGATACATGAACAACTGATAAGAAGTGAACTCTTATCGGTTCTTGAGCTCTTTACAATTCAGTGGCTAAACAAACGGTGGATATAAGATTCAGGTCAGTTCTCCAGAACACTCAATTCAATTGTAACCCAAAACTCCTATAATGACAAACTTGAAATATCTGACCACACAGCAACATAATTAGAGAATTAGAATGTATATGTAAAAACTAGTCCAGAGTAATAGGGGAGTAACTAATTAGTGATTTATCTTGAATAATAAGGTAGATTGATAACAATTGATCATTCAAATCAAAGTTCAGAAATAAGAGAATATAAAAATGAAAGTCTACGCATCTCTACAATATAAATATGAATAATAATTCCTCATATGATAAGCAAAGATGGATAGTGGCTAGCAGTGGAATCTAGGAGGCGCATTTCGTTCTATTTGGAACTCGTCAGCTGGATGTACCTGTATTGGAAGATACAAGTAAACAATGCCAAGTGAATATACCTCATATGATAGTTTCAAAAGTCAAGTTTCCGTACTCTTCATCCCACCATATCAATAAGATAATTAGCATTATATTCAATTTATTCTGTGCAGTTATTGCTTACGTGATACATAGGTACCATTAGTATATTAATTTCAATAACAGTCTAAAACAAAATATGATCTGAAGAAAAGTGACGTATGAGTACTGAGACGTTCAATGAAATCGGAACCAATAGTGAAACGTAAATAGTGGTTTAAAGCTCTGTGTTAGTTGTCAACAAAAAGGGTGATTTTAATAGTTGAATTCATGAGTCAATTGGAGCTAGACCACCTTGGAAAATCTGAAAGCACTGGACGGCCACTGAGCCGACCGGCATTCAACGATGTTAATGTCTACCTTCAACCAGTCCACGAAGTTACGCCACCGTTCACTGTGACCAGTGGAGTTCAATCAGGTCTGTTGTTACATAGTAACTCACTGATAACAATGGTAGCCTAACTTCAATTGACTCATGAATTCAACTATTAAACATACTATAATATTCATAAAACCCCCTCTCTGATTATAAATAAAAACTGTGTTAAATAAGATAATAATAAGACAAATCGTTGTTGTTGTTGTTGTTGTTACTGTTTTTTCTCTCTAGACAAACAAGACGATGCGGCTAAAACACAAATCTCTATATTGACTGACTGACTAACTGACTGACTGTCTATTCCTCTTTAGATAACAATAGATTCAAATCAACAACAAAAATTCAAAGAAAAACTCAATGGAACTTGTCAGTTAATGTAACTATGTATAATTTAATACAAATAAAAAGTAGGATTTTTCCTTTTGAATACATAACTTTGTTTTAATAATTCAATATTAAGTGAGTGACTGAGTGAGATAGAGAGGGAGAGAGAGAGAGAGAGGGGGGGAATCGTAGACAATCAACTATTCAATTGAATCAAATCTTGATTTTATAAAAAATAAAATTTACTTCATTGTCATGTATCCAAGTTGTTTTGATAAATTTCTTTTATTATTTCATATAAATCAACTTAGTAACTTTACTTAAAACGTTTCTAAGGTTACTAACAGTTTCAAGGTTGAATAAAGGAAGACGGTTGAATATGGAGTCAACAATCCCATGATATAGAAAATGACTTGATTATTTAATTACACTTGTTACCACATGTTGAAGAGCATAGGTCACACATTAACATTCTCTATCAAACTGTGTTTTGAACATTCCTTTACAATTGTTTCTAGTTGCTATTCATCTTTTTCATATCTACTTCCAATTCCCGAAGTGGTGTATTCTTTGGTCTTCCTCTTCTTCATCTCACTTCAGGATGCCAAATTAGTGCTTGCTTAGTGGTGCAGTTTAATTATTTCCTGAATGTGTGTCCTATTCACTTACAACGTCTTTTTTTAATCGTCTCCTCAGCTGGAAGATGGTTTGTTCTCTCCCACAGCCGGTTGTTGTTGATGATGGTTGTGATAGTTCTCCAAGTTCCACCTCCCCACAATATAACTAATTGTCTTGACGTCCGTATTGAAATTTCCGACTATGATATTGGTTGACAATTGTTTTGAGTTCTATATGTTTATCAATTATAGGAATGCGCTCCTTTACGTCTGCATCAGATCCTCCTTGTTTATCGATTATGCTGACCAGATACGTGAAAGACTCCACATCTTCTAAAGAGTCCCCATCATATATGATTGTGTGTGATAATCTCCGTGTAGCATTTGATGACTTTACTTTTTCGCTTGTGTATGTTGATGCCTACTGATGTAGAGGTTACTGTTACACTAATCGTCTTCATCTGTATTTGTTGATGTGCATGGGATAAAAGGATCAGGTCATCTGCGAAGTCCAAAGCTTATAGCTGAGTACAACCCGTCCATTGTAGTCCGTGTTTCCCTTCAGATGTGGAGGTCTTCACGCGCCACTTTGCAGGGTAGTCCGTAGTATGAATTCCGGATGATGTTGACAACTTTATCAGCTACCCACTATATTGTGTCCAAGAAAAAGCTTCCATAATGTTCTCCTATCCACACTGTCAAATACTTTCTCTCAGTCAATGAAGTTGATGTAATATGACCTGTTTCATTCAATTGATTGTTCAACGATGATCCGTAGTGTCGCGATTCGGTCTGTTTACGATCTATCCTTACGGAATCCAGTCTGTTGATCTCGAAGTTTGGTGTCTACTGAATCTTTCATCCGGTTCAACAACACTCTGTTGAAAACCTTTCCTGGTAGCGATTGTAGTGTGATGCCTCTATAGTTCTCACATTTGCTCGAATCTCCTTTCTTTGATATCCTAATGAGGTATCCTTGTCTCATATTTTCTTCTTTTGTGGATGATTCCTCTGACCTTGCTTCATCTTCCATGTATTTCTGCTTGTCATCTCTAATGCTTCTCTTCAATTGCTTGCTTGTTTCTATGTATTCAGCCTGTGCCTTCACTTTCTCTGTTCTTGTTCGACTGTTTTTAATTGCTGTCTTCTTATTCTTTCTTTCTTGAATCCTGCTCGGGGTATCGACAGAGACCCATTCCTTATGATGATGCTTCTTGTGGCCCAGCACCTCTTGATACGCTGAACTAAGTGCTTCTTTGATCCCTTCTCCAGTTAACCTTCTTAGTAGTTTCTCCTTCTTTGCAACACATTGAACCTGTTGTTGAGTGTCATCTTGAATTCGTTGAGTTTGCTAGTATCCCGAACGAAGGTTGTAATGAACCAATGTACTGCTCAACCCTCGGTTATCCAGTGTTCCTTTAGCTTCAGTTTTATCTGCCTGTAGCTCTTCTAGAGTTACTACCGGTCTAAATCCCGAGTAAAGGAGTAGGGTTGGCATGAGGTCAGCAACCTCATCCCTTAGAAAAAATCCTAGTTAAAAAGATGTGAACCAGATTAAACAAATCAAACCACTTCAACTCTGTCCTGGTTGTCGAAGGAAAAATTATTACACCTCATGATGAAAGCCGAGATTCTTTGGAAGTCATGAGGCTGATTTCCATTCTAACAACGAGAGCAACGATTAATATAGGTACATGGAATGTCTAAACAATGTAGGAGACCGGAAGGACTAGTCAAATAGCCATGTAGTAAACGACTGTGCTAAAAGAAACGCTAACTATAATAAACAACGTAAACCATCTTAGCACAACTGATTTGTTAACTAATCAAATATTGGCTTTAGTATTCTGATTAAATGTATGTTCGTAGAGTTCATTGTATGTTGCCTGAATGATAAAATATTAGATGTAACCCCATTAAAATTAAATTTAGTTGTAATTTATATTAAGAACCGAAACTATAAGACCAAAATCTAAGTTCTAGTTGACACTGTGCTAGATATCAAGAATGTTAACACCTTAGTTACATCTAATTTATCACCGAGTGG